TATATATATACACACACACATATACACAAACATACAAAAACAGATACACCCCCGACCCGTACACACATACACATACACACACATACACACACTTGGTTTATAACGCCTCTGACGACTAATCCATCGGTTCCCCCTCCTCCTCCTCCTCCCGCGCCAACCCTTCCAGGTGCTGGTCATGGCGGCTGTGGGCTGGGGTGCCGCCCTCCTCTGCTCCCTCCCAATCCTCTACGTGTTCCATGTCCGATACGACGAGAAGAAGAACGTGACCCTGTGCGAGAACATCTTCCGCAACCGACCTCGTGAGCACCGACAGGCTTTCCTCACCTACGCCGGCCTCGTCAACTTCCTCATCCCGCTCATCATCCTCTGTGTCTGCTACATCCGAATCTTTCTGAAGATCGCGCGCAAAGCGTCTGACAGCCGGACGACCAAACGGCAGAGTTTCAAACCGGGCAAGATCCACCTGACCAGCAGTACGACCTCCGCCACGCTACAGAGCGCCAAACTCAAGACCCTCCGGATGACAGTGGTCATCGTGACCTGCTTCATCGTCTGCGGGCTGCCTTACTTCATCGCAGAGATGATCTTGTCCTACGGCGACTTCCACATGCTCAGCAAGTCTGTCTACGCCCTACTTGGCGGTATAGCTGTGGCCAACTCCGCAGTCAACCCGTACATCTTTTTGCTGTTCAGCGTGAACCACCATTGCTTGAGGAGTCTGAAGATGTGCCCGGCACAGACGGGGCCCAATAACAGACAGCTCATGTACAATGGTAGTGTCAGGTCACGTGAGTACTCCACGGCCGCCTACTCACGGACACCAGTCACTAACGTGTCCACCACAGACGCCCTGGAGCTGACCACAACCACCAACACAAAGGCTAACAAAGAGGCCCGATTCTACCAGCTTAAAAAGTCGCTGGGCGTGTAACCTTCACCACACACTGACTAAACACTTGAGACACTAATAACAGGCCTAGTGTGTAACACTCCCATGTGTGTGTGTGTGTGTGTGTGTGTGTATGTGTGTGTGTGTGTGTGTGTATTATTGTGTCGGTTTATCGAGACGAAAGACGATCTTGTTGCGTACCCTGACTAAGTAACCGTCAATACAGATTAGAAAATCATCGGTGCTCCTTGTAATGTAAACAGACTAGAATATTTTCAGAAAGTTATGCCGTTACATTTGTTATAGAACGGTGGAAAGTCAAATCTGGTAGTACATATAATGCCATAGTTATATGATCGATCCCGAGGACTTGGCTGACAGATCACGCATCAGTTACATGCGACCTCGAATAAGATAGAAGAAGATTGTAAAAACTATCTAGCAGAGCAGCTTGTAATTTCCGGATAACTATTGTCATCACGCACCTCTAAAACAGGACTCTGGGTTGTTCTGAACTGCGCTTGAAGTTTCGTGTAAATTGTCAATTTTTGGAGTCATCTTAATGGCTATCAAAGAACCTAGGACTTCTTTCTTGGGACAGTTTTGTTTTAGAGCAGGGTGTCTGCCTCTGTTTCTCTCTGTCTCTGTCTCTGTCTCTGTCTCTGTCTCTGTCTCTGTCTCTGTCTGTCTGTCTCTCTCTCTCTCTCTCTGTATCTCTCTCTCTCTCTCTCTCTCTCTCTCTGTATCTCTCTCTCTTTCTTTCTATATCCCTCCCCATATTTCTATCTATCTATCTATCTATCTATCTATCTAT